TAGCTGTAGAGGGCAGTGTCACTGGCCCTCATGTGGGATCCGAACCGGGGCCCTGCTGCTCAGAGCTGGCACCCCAAGCCAACTCTTAACCAACGCGCCACTCAGCCGGCCCACTCTCCAATTATTTTTTAACATACATGAAAATTTCAGAATTTGCTCCTTTTAATTCTAATCTACAGGTTTTCTTTATTATTATGAAATATTCCAAACCCTTAGAAATATACCAAAGATAACATAACAAATACCCACGTGCTGCCACACAGGTTTAACAGACATTAACATTTTGCCATGTTTGCTTCAAACCTCTCCAGATATAACCATTAACTCCCAGTTGGTGTGCACATTGTGTATATTATCTTGCATGTTTTTTTATTTTTATTGCATTTCTGTAGATCCATAAAGAATATGGTACTGTTTTATGTGTTTTTGCATTTTACATAAATGATTTCATACACTTTTGCAATTTGTTTGTTTGTTGTTCAATGTTGTTTTTGAGAATTCTCCATGTTGATGCATGCTGGTGTAGTTTATTTCATTGAAATGCTGTGTAGTATCCCACTTTGTGAATAAGCCACAATTAATTTCTCTATTTCTTTACTGATGCATAATCACTTAGGCTGTTTCCAATTGTTTAGTATTAAGAACAGTAGTTCACTGAGTATCATTACATATGTTTTCTTGTTTACTTGTTTGAGTGGTCCTGTAAGATGTATACCTAGTAGTGGACTTTCTGGGTCACAGGGTGTGCACATCTTCAATTTCACTCCATCAAAGTGTGGTTCAAGGTGGCTGAGTCATTTATAAATCTGTTTTAAGTAAGGTGCAGTTTTAAATCCTGTTGCTAGGCTATTGAATTCTAAGCTCATCTGCTGTTTGATTTTACTGTGCAGTACTTAAATTCTTTCCATTTTATCTAGGCAGTGATAGATGGTGGGTGGTTTCATTTTTTAGTAGAAGTTTATTATCATTTCATCTGTTATAGAGGCTTAGGCATCAGTGAATTACAGTGGCAAACTTACAAGCTTTTTAAATGACAATCAACATATTTTCTGACATTTTAAGTAGGTTCTCAAATCATTTAGCTTACTTTTAAACACACTTTAAATTAGTATTAGGCACTTGATTTTGAGTAACTACTTTAGTGACTTGAGAAACTATGACATTTTCTTTAATTCTGTTCTTAAAGCCATAAATTTCACTTAACTTTATAATCTATGTCAAGAGTGTTAGCTTAACAGTATTATTTTGAAAATATTTTACATACAGAATTAAAATCTAGTGATGAACATAAGCTTTTCTTGTTCTTGAAATATTTTACAGTTAAGCAAGTGAAATGTCAGAAGTAGGAAAATAGCTTTGAGAAGACCTGAGCTTTGTAAATGCTACAGCTTTGTTTTGTAATTTTTAGTTCTCCAAGGAATTGAGAGGCTTTTTAATATGTTTATCTCAGATGCTTTAAGAAGTAGACTGAATTTTAGCTGCAACAGGTGCCTCGTGCAGGGAGTACCCTGGTTTAAATTCTGAGGTGCTTTCACTTCTGCTCGATTCCCCTTGAAATCGTCTAGAAAGAAGTTGGCACATTATTTTGCGGATATTACTAGACATCAGGAAATACATGACTGGATCTAAGCAGCTATTGAAAGATGAGAAAACCAGCATGATCTCATTGATTTTGTGAACGATTTCCTTCCAATAACAAGATGACACATTTAGCTGTAAAGAAATATAGACAAATCGGAAGGCATGATATGGAACAAAACATACAGTAAAAATGATAAGCACAATAAAGGAATTCCGGGCTGTCGTGGCATATTTACCAGAATTAGGAAATTTTGACCTCCTTTTAGAAATCCTCAATAGATTCTTGCCGATCTTAATATATGAAAGGATTATCAGTAGGAAAATTATCCAGAACATGACTACAAGAATTAAATTAAAAATTGCTTCTCCTTTTGCATTATGCTTATCTCTATAATGGAAACACATTGTGGAATTATGACCTCCCCTCTTAAGAGTTAAAATAATCATAGTTAAAAATCCAACAAGAGCAACTGTCCATACCGTACAGCAAACATAAATACTTTGTTTGGTTGTTATTGCCTTCCGTTGTTGAATAGACCGATTGATTTTTATGTAGCGATCCAAACTGATGAATCCAAGCAAAATAATGCTAATGTACATGTTCATATAAAATAGTGTTCCCACAACCTTGCAAAGAATCACACCTAGCGTCCACTTGTTTTGGTTAATGTGATACATAATTCGGAAAGGGAGGCAGAAGATAAGTAAGAGGTCTGCAATGGCTACATTAAGGAGGTAAATCTGAATGGAATTTCTTTTGCGGTGGATACCCAGAAATACATAGAGGGCAATTATGTTTCCAACCAGTCCCACGATGAAAATAACAGAGTAGAATGCTGTTAACACACTAGAGAGTAATTTTTCATCCATAGCACAGGCAGTAAAATTTGATGCTCCTGATACGTTGTGTGCTGATTGGATGCTGTGGTTAGTTATAAAGCGCACTCCCTGGGAGGAGTCGAGCCAGCTGCTGACTGAAGTAGTCGTCATTGTTGTGGTGTGACTTCTCATCGTCTTCGGTAGGGATCAAAAAGTGAAGGTGCCAAATGACATGTTCTTCATGTGTAGCTTTTATAAGGTCTTCAGATTTTTCCTACAACAGAATGCCAAACATTGAGTCATCTCTTATTTTAATAAGTCACTTGAACTCCAAGCATAAATAATAAATGATTTCTTTTCAAACACTGTGAGAAACTTTACTTTTATCCTACTTTGGACCATTTGAATATCTACACTATGTATGTAGCAGCATTATGGTATCACAAAACAAGCAGCAAATATAGTAGAATCTTATGGAATGTCCTGCTCTACCCTTTCCTTTGGCTGTGGTATATGTTCAAGGTTTGTTTTATTTACTGTATTAAATAACTGAACTATAAAATCATCTTCCTTTAGGCAGGTTGTTATGGGAATAGAGATGGAGGTGAAGAGAAATGACAGGTCATATTTTTCAAAGGTGAGCGTCCATTTCCCTAAAGCTAGTTACAGCCGTTAAGTGAGCTGGGCCCACTGCTGGCCCCTGTCCAGCTTCCTAACTTGACTCCTTCCTTCATATGTGGCATTCATTTATTTTGCCACATGTTGCCACATGGCATGTGACAGATAAACTGTAGCAGCCTCTCGTTCCATAGTAGGAATAGAGAAAAGGGTCCTACATTTCTTCCTTTTCAACCTAAGACCAAGTGGAGCATATCACAATCATCTGTTTACAGGGGCGTGCAATTAACATAACAGACCAAGAGAGCACAGCACCTGCCTCCTAGGCAGACTTGTAACCCTGCACAGGAGAGCAAAGTAGCCAGACAAACCCAAGTCAGGTGGCAGCGCTGCCAGTGAGTCCAGTCAGAAAGTCTTCTGACCTAGAAGCATAGCATAGAGTGATAATGTAGATGGGAAACAGATGTGCATCCAAGATTTTGAAAGTAACTAGCTGCAGCTGAAATAATGCCCTGAGTTAGGTAATTTGAGACTAGAACCTTATAAGAAGATAGTGTGTGGATTCCACTTGCTTGTGACAGCAGAGACTGTTAGCAGCGCTACTTGTTATTGGCCCTTTCCTGGGCATTGCCTGCTATGAAGAGCTCAGTCTGAGAGGTCATCATAAAGAGCTAGAAGACGTCAGGAGAGGATTCCGGGAGGCCTCATCACATTCCTTGCTTAGAGTGCCCTTTTTCTCTACAGCAGCCTCTTAGCAGGTATAGCAGAAAGACATTCAGAGCAAGGCTATCAAAATCAGACCTAACTAACTCTGTGACCTTGGGCAAACAATGTAATCTTTTCTAAACCTCAGTTTTCTTGTTTGTAGAAATGAAAAATGCATATGAAAAACTTAACCCTGGCATTTAAGCGCTCAATGAAAGTTAGCTTTTTAAAAAACACCTTTTGATTAACCTCATTTTAGTAAATACAGAGGGTGCCCAAAAAATGTATACACATTTTAAAAAAGGAAAAAACTGTATTAAAATTGTAATACAGTGAATGACGCTAGCATTCATTTGATTAATGCCATCTTTTGAGCGAACGTCATGCATATTGCTACGCAATTCAATTCAACTTCTAAAAGTATTGGGTTGTCGGAAAAGTCATGATGTATTTTTTTCTATGTTTTTCATTGCAAAAATGCGTCATGACTTTTCCGACAACCCAATAATAATACATAGATAACATCTCTTAAAATGTGTGTGCGTATTTTTGGCAGCTCCGGTATTTCATACCTGGCCAAGTACTACTTGGGAAACAAAGGTGAAACAAGATAGAGACCCTGCTCTCGGTAAACATTTTTGTAGGCATGTGTATTCAAACTCTGAATGCTGTAAAGTGGATTTGAATTACAGCAATTAATTTCCTCATTTGGCATTATACGCAAAGAGAAATATTTGGAAGAGCTTAGCCTTTCTTAACTCTACCTATAATTGGATCAAAATGAAACCATTTTGGTGGAGGGCAAAATTCAGGGTTTAAAATTTTGCAATAAGAGAGAATTGTTTACGGGGGAAAGGAACTGGTGAAGAGGAAGTTATGTAATTCTTAGTAAGAGCCTTTTCACAGAGCTCAGGGAAGTGGAGGGAGGGAGGCAGGAGGCCAGTCTATCTAGTCTGCCGTGTGCCTCAACTGCAGGAAGACAGATTTCATAAAGTGGATAGAAACTTTCAGGCATTTTTTTGTGTTATGAAATTCTAAATGGAAAGGGCACTCTGGGAAGAATGGCAGGCTGCCAGAAATGAAGCTGATAATGCAATCTGGATTATCAGGAAGGGGAAATGGGCACCTGTTGCGGGACTTTAGGGAGCTGGTGGAGAGGCTCAGGTAGAAACATCTCATAGCCACTGATGAAAGGGAGCTGAGGTGTGACAAGTGATGTGATTTTGAGAGCTTGGACGGCTGAAATGACTAAAAACTAAAGTTTTTTTCCTTCTCCCATGCTATATTTTAAACTCCGTTAGAGTTAGGAACGAAGTCTGTTTTGTTTGCCTCTGTGTACCAAGTGCTTAGCACAATAAATATTGTTGCATGAAAGAGACAATTTAGTAGAAAAGTATGCAATGTTCTTCATGTGGATATTAAAATCAGCTGTTCAAGTATAGGAAGGGCTTTAGCTGCATTAACAGAAATACAATTGCAATTGACTGCAGTTGCCATATCAGTAATGTGATGTGGCAGCAACAAAAACTAACCCCTTCTTTGGTTGGATTCATAGATATGGAATGTCTGAAATGAAGATTGTTACTGCTGATCTGGTTCTCTCCCAAGTTGATAGGGTTCTACCTGGAATCCAGTGTTTCATCCTCAGCGGCACACTTAGAAAAGGCCACAGAGCCAATGGGGAGAAAAGCCCAAATCCAGTCATAGGAGCGAGTTAAAGGAAATAGGCACCTTATCCTGGAGATGTGAATGCTTTACAAGGCTGGGAGAAAAGGATTTCACCTAGTGATAGTGTCTTCAAAAAGCAGAACAAGAACCAGTGAGTAGAAATGGCACAGACAGATGTTGCCTCCTTTTGAGGAAATGCTGTTTTAGAATGAAACAATCTATCTTGGGAGGCAATAAGGGTCTTACCACCAGAGATTGACAAGATTTTCACCAATTGGGTGCTGTGTAGAAGAGCTTCTCAGTGGTTCTCAATCCTGGCTGCATATTAGAATTCCCGTGAGGACGTTAAAGATACCAGTGCCTGGCTTCATCTCCACATCTGATTTAATAGGTCTGGAATGGACCCCAGACAATGGTTTCCTTTAAAAGCTCCTCAGGGGATTCTAATGTGCATTCAGATTGAATCCTGGAGCTAGACAGCTGAACCATTAACTAATATTTATTTAGCATTTACTGTGTACCAGGCAGTGTGTTAAGCATATTTATGTTATTTCATTTATATAATCCTTATAATACCGCATAAGGTAGGTATTACAAAAGAGGTCATTGAAAGATCAAGAGGGTATGATCTTTACCCATGACCACACAGCTCTTAACTGGCAGTACCCAAGTTGGGACTCAAATCTGTCTAGCTTTTAGAGCCTATGATCCTTTTCACCCAACCGTCTTCCTCCTAATCACATACGATCAGCATTTTCATTATTAATAACGAGTTCCATCAGCAGTGTTTTGACATGATTCCTTTAACATTATCCACATTAGCAATTTTAAGAGGAAATTATGCCATCTAGCTTCACTTTTGGAAAAGGCATTAATCTTTTTATTTGCTATGTCCATTATAGTAAGTAAATAAGTACAGTTTACAGAATCACAAGTCTTTAATCAGAATGTTCGGCACTTCCCCCAGAGCATATCTTTTCCAACTTACTTCTAGGCCTGATAGCCTTAATCAAGATGTTTCTAGAAAGCTGTTAGCACAAAACACATATCCTGAAACCATTTGCCTCACCTCTAATCTGCAAATAAAATAAGTAATAGTTGGACAAGATCGCCAATAAACCTTTCTGGTTTTGCTTTATTTTCAAGCTTAAAGAGAATAAAGCAAAAGCAATTCATTTGTTTAAATAGTAATTAGTAGCCATCATTTAAAACCATATATGAAATAGCTGGTGTCCAGTCATTTATTAACAAATTAACAGGTGAGATTCTGTTTTAAATTTAATGGCTGGTTTTTGCCTCCTTTACAATGTGTCAATCACTCACTGTTCTTCAGGCCATTTATTGATGTTTTAAAAACCACTTATTTGTTAAGAATGCCTGGTGAAGACAGGAAACAAACCACTGTGTTCATATAGTGGACTAATTTCCCAGTAGACATTACTTATGACTCATGTGCTCTACTGACGTAGTCACAATGGTTTCCTGCTAATAGATGGTAAATAGTTTCGAGTGTTGTTACTTGGCAATTCCTGAAGTTTGCAACCCTATGGTCATGTAGCAGTGGACCCACCAGCACCACCACCCTCCCTTTGCCAATGTTTTTCAACTGGTTCATGTAGGAACTTCATGAACCCAACAGATTCCACTGTGGCTTCCAATGCGCAAAGCTTTTTAAATGCAGTTTGGGTATGGTCGTGGAAACATCACATTGCTATGTTAAAATACATACCTATTTGGCAATGGTAGCAACCGTTCACTGTTTGTAGTCTGGCTTGATAATGACTGAATCATTCAGTCCATGCTTCAAAAACTGCATTAAATGCTGCATACAGAATGAAAATTGAAAGCATCTTACTTTGGAAATAATACAATTTGTAGTACATTAGGTTTTGTTATAAATGTAACTATGTCTAAAAAAACATTTTTTTAATTTTAGTTAGTTGAATTAACTAAAGAGTATTTTGCTTTTGCTTTTCTCCAATATTCACCTTATTTTCTTCTGAAACACAAAACTTAACATTCAATTGGTCTGGTAATTACTATAAAATAATAACAGTATAATAAAGAAAATACTATTGAAAATAGGGAGACAGCATAACTTAATAAAATTAATAAGTTACAGATCATTTATAATACATTAGAAATAAAATTTGTTGTATATGAAAATAACTTCTAATTGATTGAAGTGGATCTGCAAGTCTTTATGGCAGTATACAAAATATAATCAATGTGACAATATTGGTAGTATGAGCTTAAATACCTCCAGTATCCCAAAGTACTTCAAGTAACTAAGAAGACACAGCTACATTTTAAAAGTTAAGTCAAGGCAGACGAGTCATCATTCAACAGTTTACTCAAGGTTCTAAAACCAAGTGTCACCATGAAACAGGTTTCACTTTTAATATTCAGATAATCAAATTTTAACTAAAATAAAGGATCATTTATGTAGTTAACATCAAGGAATACTCACAGTTCAAGCTCTCTGAAGTAAAAGGAGCTGAACCCCAAGCTTCCCTAGACACAGAAACTTCTCTTGGTTTGTCAACTAGTTTCCTCCATCCGGTCGAGGTCCAATTGGTTGGGGTTTTCTTTTTTTATATTTGCGTGTGGTAATAGGGTGTTTTTTTTTCCCTTTTCTTTCTTTTTTCAATATGACAACCTGAGACTCCTTGTGAAAATATTTAAAAGCCTCATATCACTATGTAACAACTTTAAGCTCAATGAACACTTAACTTTAGGAAATTATATATATTTTTATAAATACTTTCACCTTGACAATTGTGGGAAGTTTTCTCTTATTTCTCAAAATAAGGAAGCTTTATAAATTCTAAGCAGAAATATGCATTTTCTGTTTTTCATAATAAATTATATGTAAATATTGCTATATGGACTTTTAAAACACAAGCACTGAATTCCTGTTCTTTTCTAGATTGGTTTTAGAAATTTAGTTATTCACATAAAATGCCATTCCTTTATTGACTGATACTAACATTAGTAACGAATTATTTTATTCTTTAATTTTTTAAAGCTTTATTTGATCTATATGATATTTTAGTCTATTTCCATGTATTCCTTTAAGACCTTGGATTTATTTTTTTTTTAATCTTGTAATTTTAGGACTAGATGAGACTTGTGATGGTATTCTCCCCATTTTATTACTGTGATAAATTCTCCCAATTAAAGTGAAATATCTCCTATATTTTAAAAACATAATGAAGGAATTCTGCAATTTTTGTTTTGGTCCTAATCCAATATTTAACCACTACCTGTCCATTTATGTAATTACTGGCCCTGCAATTTAATGTCATTTTCCCTTTTTTGGTTGTCATTTGAAATGAAGAAAAGTTAATTTGTATTTTCCCCATAGTTGTTGCCCAGCAACTTTGTTTGCACTAAATAATATTTAACTCATTGGGTTTTATCAAACTCTAATTATGTCTGAGTATATACACTTTTCTGAACATCATATTCTCCAGAGCTTTTAGTTTGTTATAAATATAATACATGGGACAGAATATTTTTAAATTGCTAGAATAAAATAATGTTGTAGCTCTTAGCTCCCCTCCTAGAACCTCTGAGAAGGAAGATGATCACTGTATTGGCCTGGTGTGATTGCTATATTAGTCTGGCAAGAAGTTTGTTTGTGTGTGTGTGTGTGTGTGTGTGTGTGTGTTGTAAAAAAAAGCACATAACATTAAATTTTACCATCTTAATAATTTATTTTTAAATGTACAGTTCAGTAGTGTTAAGTATAAATTGTTGTGCAACAGATCTCTAGAACTTTTTCATCTTGCAAAACCGAAACTCTGTACCCCCTAAGCCAGCAGTTCTCAACTTGTGGGTCACGACCCCTTTGGGGGCAAACAACCCTTTCACAGGGGTTGCCTAAGACCATCGGAAAACAAAAAGATATTTACATTATAATTCATAACAGTAGCAAAATTACAGTTATAGAGTAGCAACGAAAATAATTTTATGGTTGGGGGTCACCACAACATGAGGAACTGTATTAAGGGGTCGCGCGGCATTAGGAAGGTTAAGAACCGCTGCCCTAAGCACTAATTCCTCCTCCCTCTTTCGCCCATCCCTAGCAACCACCTTTCTACTTTGTATGATTTTGACTACTTTAGATGATTTTGAGTGGAATCATGTACTGTTTGTCCTTTTATGACTAGCTTATTTCTTTTAGCATAATATCACCAAGGTTCACCCATGCTTTTGCACGTGACAGGATTTTCTTCTTTTTTTAAAAAAAGCTCACATCCGCTGCCGGCCAGCCCCACTGCAGCCTACGCCTTCACCGGCGACTCACAGCAGCCCAGCTCCAGGTCGAGCTGTTGTTCACCATCTTAGCTGTAGAGGGTGCAGCATCACTGGCCCTCATGTGGGATGGGAACCGGGGTCCTGCTGCTCAGAGCTGGCGTCCCAAGCCAACTCCTAACCAAAGCGCCACTCAGCCAGCCCAGGATTTCCTTCTTTTAAGGCTGCATAATATTCCATTGTATGTCCACATTTTCTTTATCCATTCACCTGTGATGGACATTTGAGTTGCTTCCACCTCTTGGCTATTGTGAATAATTCTGCAATAAACATGGGTGTGCAGATATCTTTTCAAGATCCTGGCAGTATATTTTTTTTGATGGCTAAATAGGTGTTTATCTATTAGCCTTCTATTTCATACAATTAATATAAATATCTTCTTCTATGCTATGCTAGCTATTTTTCCACACCTAGGCCATCCCTTTTCAAAATATTGATTCTGTTTTTTCAAACTTCAGTGCTCTGGCCCTAATGTGACCAGATATGAGTATAATCTTTTTCTAGTTCTTTCTTTATATGAGCTTTTTTCTATTCATTCTGAACTTTCTACTTTCTGTCTATATTCTTACCTCATTCCTATATATCCTCTTCCTCTCACCCTTCCGCTTCCTCCTTTATTGGTATCTTAGCTTTTTATTTATATAAAGATAAAAGTAAAAGGGAAGAAATAAATGGATATGCTTGTTTGGTACCCTCTATTCCCGATATCATTATCCTCTCTTTATCTAAATCCCAACCCTGGTTAAATTCAGCTCGCCACCTACTTACTCCAGGCCTAAACCCTGCCAGCTCAAATGAGGACTGCTAGGTTCAAACACACAATCATGCTAATCAGTCTCACTACAAATTCATGACCACAAACTTCAAGTGGGCCCCTGAGCTGCCAGCAATCTTGCTTTATTTCCTTAGTCTCAAAGTATGGTTCCCAGATCAGTAGCATCAATATCACTCAAGACCTTGTTAGAAATGCAGATTCTTGACCTCATCCCAGACCTTATGAATCAGAAACTCTAGGGAATGGAGGCCAGCAAATCTGTGTGATTCTGATGCTAATGTTTGAGAACCACTGCCTTAATCAATTCATGTTCCTGTTCTTTGAAAATACTTTTTCACAAAGTCACTCTTCTCAAACTGCCAACAGCCCCGACCCCTTTCCTACTCCCACCTGATGATCACTTTTTATTTCAAAGTAAATGGAAAATAGAAGCGCTCAGAAGAGCACTTCCTCATCTTCCTATACAGACATCTGTCTGCCATCTACAGGTGCCCCAGTACACTGCCTTCTTCACTGTCACCAGGGCCAATCCCTCACCCCACTTGTGCATTACACCCCATCCCTTCTCTCTCCTGGGGTCATTTTTTCTTTGTACAGGATCTTTCCCATCAGCACACAAATGTCTCTCTTTAAAACAATGAAAGAACAACAAAACCTCCCTGAAAATCTCTAGGTATTTCTATGGCGTCATCTATCAGATATATTTTTATGTGAAAATTTTGAAAATTTATATGTATTTTCTTATTTTCAAAAAAACACCCAAAACAATGGAAGGATAAACCAAAAATAAATACAAATAGTTACTTATGAGGTGGGAGAGAGGTTGGGAATGGGGAGAGGAGACAAAAGCTAGACCTCTCTGAATGGTGTTTATGTACAGTTTTGACTTGGGAACTATGTGCATGTTTAATGTAATTAAAACACCAAATTAGGTAAAAAATCTAATTAAAACAAATTGACCTCACTGTGTAGCAAATTGAAAGTATAACCATGAGAATTCTTTTAAGTGACTTTAAAATACGGTGGGTTGTTTTCTTGTTTTGTTTTGGGGTTTTTTGTTTCTTTTTTTTACATAATTTTACACTTACAGAAAAGTTAAGTAGTACAAACAATTCCAGATAAACTTTCACTCAGATTCTTCATACATTAACTTTTTTCTTTGTTTTATTTTTCTCAATCTCTTACTCTTATCTATCTCTTTATCTACCTATCTATGTAATTCTAAAAATAAATTCTCTTAACAACCACAATAAAATTATCAAAATTAGGGAATATATATTGAAAGAATACTGTCATGTAATCTCTAGAACTTGCTCCAATTTCAATTGTTTTAATAATATCCTTTATAGCAAAAATAAAAAGAAGATCATGTATTGCATTTTAGCTGTACAATCTCTTTGGTCTCCTTCAATTCCTTTAATCTGAACAGTATTTGAAGAACATGGGCGGGTTACTTTCTTGTATGCCCCTCAGTTTGGGTTTGTCTGATGTTTCCTCATAATTAAATCCAGTTACATCCTTTGGCTGGAATACCACAGGAGTGTTGCTGAGCTCAGCTCAGTGAAGGAACCACGTGCTATCAGTCCCATTACTCGCAATAGTAACTTTGACAGTAGTGTCTGCCAGGTTTCTCCTCTGTAAAATTACTATTGTACCTTTTGTAATTAGTAACTATCCTGTGGTGAACTACTTTGATATTATATAAATATTTTGTCACTCTTCAAAATTTCACCCACTAGTTAGCACCCTTTGATGGTTCAAACCTGAATCAATTATGATGGTGATAATTGCCAAATGGTGATTTTCTAATGCCAGAATTTCTTATACATTTATAAATTAATTTTCTTAATTAAGAAAAGGAACTTAAAGGAAAGCTTTTTCTCTCCCCCTCTTTATTTACTTATTTATATCAGCATAGACTCATGAATTCTTTATTCAACAGTAAAACAGTATTTTAACTAGGAATCCCTGTTAGGTTATATCCTAAGGACAAAAAAAAAACACAAAGAAATCTTAAACAGCATACCGTGGTTTTGTTGCTGGTAATATAAGCATTGTTATTTTTAAACTGTTATACACACACTAAAGGGTAAGGCAAATGAGTAATTTTGTTAATGTCATCGGGTACCAACATCACTTGACAAAAAACAAAGAAGTAAAAACCTTATAATTGAGCAGGAAGAAGCATCAGTATGAATCGGTGGTTTATTTTTCTTCTCCTAAGAAATATATATATTTTTTAGCTCCGTCCACTGAAAAGTCAAAGCAGTGATAATCCAGTAGTAATAATATACTTAATACTACCCATATCATGGATTTCTATACCTTTAACTACTAACAGAAATGGGGCTGACTGGAGAAATGGCTGGTTCCAGGTCTGGGCAAGAAATAAAAAAGATAAGCCTCAAACATTTTCTTGTGTCTGAAAGCAAGGAAGTGATCAGACCCCTAGAATCTTTTATTTTTTAAGAAACTTTATTGAGGAACAGTGTGCTTTTCCAGGACCCATCAGCTCCAAGCCAAGTAGTTGTCTTCAATCTAACTGTGGAGGGTGCAGCTCACTGGCCCATGTGGGAATCGAACTGGCAACCCTGTTGTTCAGAGCACGCACTCTAACCAACTGAGCCACCTGTCCACCCCAGACTCTTCATGAGAGTCTGACTTAAAAGGGCTCCCACTGGACAAAAATATAACAATTTGAGCATCAAAATGAATAATGGCTGCAATTGATCAAAACATATCAAATATATAAAAACCTATAAATTCATAATAAATAAAGAACACTTCATTGTTGACCTTTGGAGGTTGCCTAAAAACCAGCTTATTCTGGAAATAGTTCATAGCAGCTTTATTCATAATATCCATAAACTAGAAACATCCCAAATGTCCATCAGTAGAATGAACAAACTACCGGTAGTATATTCATACAATAGAATACTTACTCAGCAATAAAAAGAAGTGAACTACTGATCACAACAAAATAGATGAATCTCAGAAACATGCTGAAAAAGAGAAGCCTTATGTAAGAGAGTATATACTGTATGTCTTTGTGTATATGAAGTTCTATCAGATAAAACAAACTTATGGTGAAAAATATCAGAATAATGGTTTGTACAGGGGCCATGGCAGCAGAGATTGAATGGGAAGGGGATGAGGGAGATTTCTGGGATGAAGATAACATCTCGATAGGGATTTGGGTTGTCAAAACTCTCTAATGGTACTCTTGAGATTTGTGCATTTCACAGTATATAAATTTTACCTTAAATATAATTTTAAACAAATGTTAAACTAATGATATGTGTGCTGAAGTGTAGTGGAAAGAAGAATTAAATGGTTGGATAGAGAGATGAATAGATATTTGATAAAGCAAATGTAGCATAATGTTAATTGTAGAATCTGTGTGGTGAATATATGTCTGTTTATTGTACAATTCTTTCATGTTTCTCTGTGTTTGATAGTTTTCATAACAAACTGTTGGGGAGAACCTCCATTTTGAAATCCGTAATTATGGAGCTAGGCATCAGTGGCTGCTAATATAGATACACCACATATGAAGTATTATTGCAAAAAACCTAAAATTGAATGTGAATCTAATCAAGTTTCTAGATATAATGACCAATTTACAGGAAATACAGGAAATTGAGGAACATATTAAGTGAAGCAATGTAGGTACCATTTGCCAAGTCCAGATCATAGGAGACTCCACAGGGGAAATTACCTAGTATCCTAACAAATCGATGACATGAATATTTTTAGAGAAGGTATGAGGAGGATATGTTATAGAGTAGAAACTAAGTGGTATAATCACCAAATACAATGTATGGACCTTAAGTACCATTTTGAACTAACCACCTGTAAAAAGACAATTTTGAGACAGTCAAGGAACATTGAATATAGTTTTATATTAGATGATATTAAAGAATTGTTAATTTTATTGGATGTGATATTGGATTTTTTTTAAATCGTCTGTTAGAAATACTGAACAATTAACAGGTGAAATGATATGACTTGTTTTAAAATACTTTAGCAAAACAATAATAAATGGAGATAGATGAAGCAAGAATGGCAGTAACTGTTAAAGCTGAGTGATAGGTACATGGAGGTTTATTAAGCTGTTGTCTCCAGTTGTAAATATTAAAAAGTTTTTAGGGCCGGCCGAGTGGCGCGATGGTTAAAAGCTGGCTTGGGACGCCAGAGGGCCCCGGTTCGGATCCCACATGAGGGCCAGTGACGCTGCCCTCCACAGCTAAGATGCTGAACAACAGCTCGACCTGGAGCTGGGCTGCCCTGAGTCGCCGGCGACAGCATAGGCTGCAGCCCCTGTGGCAGTGGATTGCCATGGGCTACCGTATGTAGCCAGCAACCAGCGTGAGCGGCCAGCAGCTGCCATGAGGGGCCGTCCAGAAGCCGGCGACTGATCTGCCTCACCCGGGAAGAGCGCAATGATGGTGCCAACTTGGGCCAGTGAAGCAACGTCCTCCACAGTTAGACTGAAGAACAAAAAAAAGGGCAGCAACTTATCTGTTCCCCTTTCCCCCGATTCCCCAGCACTGTTCCCATCCCCCAATTCCCCAATTTTAAAAAAAAATCTTTAAAAAAATTTTTTTTAAAGAAACTTCCTTGTCTTTACATTCTGTTCTTGTTACATCCCATTTCTCTATTCCTAGTATAGTAAAGTTTTGAAAGATATCTGAATTTACTATCTCCATATCATCTTTCCCATTCTCTATCTCTGTCATGGAAAACGCTGCTATAAATATTCATGGTTCTTGTGTGAATGTAACTTTTTATTTCTCTGGGATAAATACACAAATTTGCAGTTGCTGGGTTGTATGATAGTTGCATGTTTAGTTTTTTTAAAAACTACCAAACTGTTATCCAGAGTGGCTTATTTTCTTACTAGCAATATATCAGTGATCCAGTTGTCACATTCTCACCAGCATTTGGTGGTGTCATTTTTTAAAAATAAATCAATTAATTTTTTTTTAAAAAAGGTAAAAAAAATAATAAAACATGTTCATTCTCTTGAACTTAGTCCAATGGGATTTTTTTTGTCTCTATTATACCACTAAAACCCCTTTTATCAAGGTTACCAGTGACATCGAAATTGCCAAATCTAATGGTCAGTCTCGGTTATCTTAAATGACCTCTCAGTAGCATTTCAGGACAACAAATTCTTCTGATTTTCCTCCTGTTTCACTGTCTAGGCATTCTGTTTCCTTTGCTAGATTGTTCTCATTTTCCTAACCTCAAATATTGTCGAGCACCAGGTCTCAATCTTTCGACCTCTTCTCTTCTCTACCAGTAGCACTCCCTAAGCAATTTAATTCATTACCTTAGCTGTAAATGCTATCTGTATGTGGTTAATCCCAAATTTATACCTCTAATCCCAGCCTTCCCTCTCCCGTTTTATAAACTCCCACTCTCAATTTGTGTGAAACCAAATTCTTGCTCCCTCGAACAAACGCCTCCCCCTGTGTTTCCAATTTCAGTAAATAGCATCTTCATTTTCACTTGGTTGCCCAGAACAAAAACCTAGTTGTCATCCTTGACTTAGCTTTTTCTCACACCCCATATCCTGCAGCATTCCTGTCAGCTTTACCTTCAGAACATTTTGACAGGAAGTATAAAATATATTTTTCCTTAAACAAATGTAGACTGTCACTCAAAGGAAGAGAATATTGCTTGAAAGACAGAAAATATATCTGTCTTTCTTGAAAATACATACTTCCTGAGTAATTATTTTTTAATTTATTTCTTTAATTATAGTTGACATACAATGTTATATTATTTTCAGGGGTACAACATAGTAATTAGTATCCTGAGTAATTCTTAACATCATACCCTAATCTTAGATGCAAATAATACTTGAAAAATATTGGATAGAACAGGTAAGTGTTTGGAGAAATCAGCCAGAAGTAAAAATAGACAAATAATTCAAGCATCCAAAATAATTCCAGAAATTTTTAATGTATTACTATATTGTCATGTTACTTGGTTTTGTGTAAATTGTTTATCTTCAGTTAATCCTTATCTTTAGTTTATTTTTTATTTGTTTGTCTCTTTTTCTTTTCAGCCCCACTGTGTTCTCCTCGCCTCAAAAGAAAACTCGGCACCTGTTAAACTTGGGGGCTTCGGGGTAGCTATTCAGTTAGGGGAGTCTGGACTTGTAGCTGGAGGTAAGAACACTTTTAAAAAATAACCTTCAAAACCTGGTCACTTTCAGGCTGGTGTAAAACTTTCAAACTTAATGTTAGTCTATTTTCAGTGTTTCATACCCCATCCCAACCAGCCCTACCCCACCCCCCAAATGTGCCATCATATAGTTTTTAATTTAATAACTCTCTAGTCATAGCTAGAATTTTAGTCCCTTAAGAATAGACTGTCTTTTTACTCTATATCCCCAGAACTTAACAGAGAAGAGAGCCTACATACAGAGATTAAAACAGTGTTGGAAGAAGATGGCATTTGAGGCAAAGTGACTTTTAAAGTGGAACTGACCAAACAAAGTCAAAGCTAAAATGTGTGGATTAACCACTTTCAGGTTTACATCTATGGCTAATTTTTAATTTCATACTGCTTTCCTCTTTCCATTTGTCAAAGAACCCTGCTCAAGCCATAATTTTGTGTGTATGGGAAAAGCAAGCAGATGTGAATGCAGACTGATTTTATTATTAGCCAAAGCAGACCATAATAGAAAATTCCGATGCCAGAAAGCAAAGAAGAAAAGTTACAACAAACTTTCTTCACCAATGTAGAGTACAGAGGTGGATGCTAATTACAGATTCAAGTATTTGGTTTTCTGTTTATTGCTTTCAATAGATTCCAACTCAGAATGCTGTCCTGTTTTTAGCTCTGTTCCTGAGTTTTGCAAAGTATTTAGCTCTCCATTCTATAAACTATCAGCCTTGTCGTCACTGCCTTCTGTTTTCTCTCTCCACATACTGCCAGCCTTCACAAAGAGGAAAAATACGAAAAATGTCAACAGAAACTTTTTAAACTTGTCATCTTTCAAGAATGCTTGTATTAAATTCAAATACCTGACAAATGATAACTATCAAAGTAATAATCTGTTCCACAGGTTATTTCATTTAATTTCATTCACTATTATTAAAATATCAAAGCAGCGTTAACACAGACCATCTTCTGCAAAATGAGCCATGAGTCATAGTTGTATTCTTTAAATCGTTATTTCACCACATTGCCCTCTAAAATTAAATTAGATTTAAATTTTCTTCTAGTTTTGCATTTTATTCCAGCTAATCACTTCCAATAATCTGAGAAACTACAAGTTGCATATACCTTCAAAAACTGATTTTTTTTTTCCTAATTCAAAACTTTTCATCTGTGATTAGAAGAATGACCAAAGGGTCAGGTAATAAAGCATAGTGTAATCATAGAATGATTGAATCTCAGGATTCAAAGGGGTCTTAACTTCTCCAGTCTTGTAACTAATGATTGAATTCTCTCATAAAATTCCCAGCAAAAGCCTTAGCTCTAGTTTAATTCCTCAGATGGCAAAGAATTCACTATGTCTCAGGACAGTCCATTCCATTTTTGGAAAGCTCCTTAAGTATTGAAACATTCATCCTTGCATTGAATAGAAATCTATCTTCCTATGACTTCCACCCAGTGGTCCTAATTTTCACTTTTAGAGCCACACTGAACAGTTGTAATCCTTCCACATGAGAACCATTCAGATGTTTGAAGACAGCTGTCATTTTCCTCGAAGTGTTGTCTGAGTTAACTTGCCTAGGTTAAATTAGCCATTCCTCATATAAACTGGGTCAGACTCTCCTCACTATGCACAAAGTATGGAACCAGGACTGAACACAATTACAGATACAGTCCAGCACACAGGAGCTTTGGGCTCTCACTTCTTTTGCTGTGGGTCTTAAATTTTTATCAGGGTCCCTGAGTTGAATTAGTTTTTTGGACACCACACCATACTGCTGGTTCATATTAATCTTGAAATCAACTACAAATCCAAAGTTGTTGTTTTTAAAAAATTGTTGCTGTTAAACTGACACTCAAATATGGTATTTGTACAGATCACCCCTATGTTAAGACTACACAATTATAACAAATAAATTCTGATGATTACATCGCCAAGGTTGATGGGATAAAATGAAGTGAAACTAATTCCTTTTATTTGTTATACAAGGTGTAATCAAACAATACAGTGAATGTTTAAATAAAAAAATTAATACAATGTTTTTTATTTACAGTAAATTTATTTATAGTAAAAGATACATTGCCATTAATCCCCCTCAAAATACTCCCTCTTGCTTTAAACACACTTATCCCATTGTTCTTGCCACTTTCAGAAGCAGCTCTGGAAGTCCTTTCGTGAGTGTCTTTAATTGCGCTGTCGTGACTGCCTCGATGTCCTGAATCAATTCAAAAGGTTTACCTTTCATGGTCATTTTGACTTTGGGTAATAGCCAGAAGTCGTACGGTGCCAGATCTGGTGAATAAGGTGGATGAGGACACACCATCATGTTTTCATTTTACAGAAATTGCCGTATACCAGAAGCGATGTGTGACACGGAGCATTGTCAAGATGGAGGATGATTTATGGCACACTTCAAAACATACCTTGTCTCAACCGTAGCTCACACCCGACTGACTGCACCGAACAAGTTCAAACTTGTCACACACTGTTACTAAGGTTCGACGCGCCGCTTTCCATGTTGAAGATCCCTGCCTTTCCATTGGATGGCACTCGGCAGCAACATTTGCCATAGTTTTTTATCACACCCGAAAGGCTTCGTGTCACACATCACTTCTGACTCCATGTCACACATTGCTTCTGGTACAGCAATTTCTGTCTAATAAAAACATTGCAGTGTGTCCTCACCCACCTTATTCACCGGACCTGGCACCATGCGACTTCTGGCTCTTCCCAAAGTCAAAATGACCATGAAAGGTAAACCTTTTGAATTGATTCAGGACATCAAGGCAGTCACGACAGCATGTAAAGAGACACTCATGAAAGAGGACTTCCAGAACTGCTTCAGAAAGTGGCAAGAACGATGGGATAAGTGTGTTCGAAACGAGGGGGAGTATTTTGAGGGGGATTAATGGCAATGTGTCTTTTATTGTTATAATTTTTTTAAATTTAAACACTCACCGTATTTTTTAATCACATCTCATATACTGGCCATATATAATGACTTTGTTTCTCTTAATCTGGATCTGCATCCTATTAGTATTCAGAAAGGCATGGCTTCATATTTTATTGTGCATCTTGTTTCAAGGGGAAAACAGATTCATTAGGTTCACCTGGACATTTTCTACATGTTAATCTTATTTTCCAAAAGTCCATGAACCTTCCTCCTTAATTGCATATTTTTAAAGGTGATTTTGAGCTAACAGTGTGTGAGTTATGCAAAATTTATTTTTCTCAGTACTTCTAGAATTAAAATACTTTTTGATGATTGAAATCTTATCGTTTCTTAACCTTTCCTTACAGTCTTGAAATAATTACTTCAAGCATTACAATGTCTTTAAAAATATATGTGTAGTTAAGAGATAAATGATTTCCCATTAAAAGCTTTCCTGTTGTTTAAGGTACTTTTGAAAATTTTGCTAATATTTATCAGCTAATCTGCTAACATTTAACAGAAAGCTATTTTGCTGTCCATTGGAATCTTTGGTCATTCAGCCCTCCAAACAGAAAGGAATTCCCTCCTTTATATGTTCCATATAGTAAAGACCATTTACATATATTTACACTTCCCCTATCTGAAGCTCAGCTATTTGGAAAACTCACTTATCCAGAAGATAACTAGGAACCTAGAAAATCATTATAATAGCAGCATATTCTTTCCTCCCTTTAAAACCCACTGATTGTCCTCTCAAGTGAGCATATGAAGACACTCTCCCTGAGGCTGACATGCTCCCTTTTTTCAAAAAGATTTGTGGATTTGTGTTCCTTTATACCTTGCACCTGCTATTTCCCCTGTTTGGAATGCCTTTTGTCACTTTATCTATCTAGTTAACTCTTACTGTTCTTGAAGCCTGAGTTAACAGTCATCTCATCTTAAAAGCACACTGAACATCACCATCTCAAGTTAGGTAACCTACTCCTTCTCTCCCATATTACCATACCTATCTGAGTTCTATACCTCCATGTGTCATTTGATGTAGGGATTTGTAGTCATATCAAAGACTAGGCTTTTTGAGTGTCCAGGGGGACCATGGCTAATCCCTCGGTATGTCCACAGCACCTATCACAGTTTCTAGGACCTATCAGGCACTTCAGAAATTGTTATTAAATGAAATAGTCTGGTTGCTAATTCGTTTCCGGTTAATAGCAGATTTTATGCAACAAATTATGAGGCTGAAGTTAGCATAGTGAGAGAAGCGAAATGAAAGCCTAACAAAAAATATGTTGATCAGATACCAAAACTGGGAAAGCACAGCAGCCTTCTAATAGTAAAGAAATGAACCCTTGCATGCCTCTGAAGTTCCTGAGAGTGTTTCCTGTTCTATAGCGTAGTTCTTTCATTGATATCCACAATGATAATTCTGAGTCATCAAGAAAAGGTTAAATTATGTGCAGCATCTTGTGTAAAAGAAGTCAGGAAATTGCAGGAAGGTAGCCATCCAAAAGTGTTAACGTAAAAAGGCTTGGGTGCATAAAGATTCAAGTCCTACATTAGTGACTATGTAGCTATTCAGAACAATTCCCTCCCTGAGGTTCTAGGTAATAAGGTCTTATTATATTATCAGAAAACATATCCTTTAGGTATCTAAATGTCTATCTGATGCATGTCACATACAGTGACATTTAATTTGGTTTGGTAATTGACTTCCTGTTCTTAGAATTTTGTGGTCAAAGTCATGAAAATCAAGTGACTACAAAGAAGGAAAAGTTTTAAGAGATCGCAAACAAGAAGTTTGGGGAGATCAGTGTAGGTTAATTTTTGTCCTTTTACATTCCATCCATCTGCACAAAATTAAAAAAAATCATTCCTATATATTCTTTCTACCATGGACTTTCCATCTATCATCAATGAGCAAATTCTTGAACCAAAAGACGTGCCTCTTCCTCAAGGATAAACACTAATTCTCCACATCCACATCAGGGTAGTCTTGAATCCAGATAAATGGACAGAACCTCCTCAGGATGGCTGGGGCCAGCCATGGTGGCTCTGACTAATCCCAAAGTGAGGCCCCCGTTTTCAGTTCCTTGGCCCTTTCTTGCGTGGGAAGTAGTAGGAGGTAAGTTGCGTTTCAAAGCATCATGCACACTGTCAGCAGGTACCATGATCTCCTGTCCTGCTCTTCCCTGTTCGTGCCAGCCCCTGGCCATCAGAAAAAGGTGACTCTCCAACATCCCCACCCTGTCCAGGCTGCTGATGGAGTAGGAGGCTTAGGTCTCAGCGCTTCATCTTCTTTATGCTGAGGAAGCAAAAGGGGGCAAGACAGAAATAAAAATATTTCCTTCTAACCAGCAGAGTTTCCACTGATCTACTGTACATTTTAAATGAAAATATTTTTACTCTCTGAATCCTGAACTTAATCTCTTTTATTATGAGGGAGGCAGTGGAATCAATGCTCTGTAGCAAGGGAACATCCCCAGTACACAAACTGAGAGCTGCTTTATCTGTCTCCATCCCAACCGAGTCTGACAATCACTAATAGGACTTTATGATACAGTCTCTCTAGCTGAATTAGATCTCTAAGGTCTTTTTTAACTCTGGACCACAGTTCTGAGCTCTAGATAAAGTATTATGCAATCTTCAAAGTAAAAAATGATCTTGGGGTCAGTATGATGAGAGAGAAAGAGAGGGGGGGGGAAGGAGGGGGCTGGGCCTGTGTACAACTGAAAGAGCTGCCAAGTCTAGTAGGCAGTGCCCCCTCCCACAATAATTGCCCTACAGGGTACAAGCCTTTCATTCTACAATAGAAGAAGAGACTCCTTTTGGGATACGGAAAGATAGTCACTAGCATGCAAACAACTGCTATCAGATTCCTTCCTGAAAGCTGGTTTTGTTAGGGAAAAGAAAGAAAACTGTTTAAAGAAGATGGGGATCAAAAAGGATTAAATGGGGGGAGCTTCGTGACTTTTCTTTATGTCATGCATTTGCGCTCATTCTCTTCAAATGTTAACATTAGGAGGAAGCTTTTAAAATTCTATTATAAAAAAATAATAATTAAAAAATAAAAATCCTGTTATAACAAAATATTACTAACCATTGTTAATTGCTGTAGTCAACTCCTAAAATCAACTGAACAGAACTTCAGATTCAAATTCATATTCCAAATAAAAGTTCTCAGCATTAGGTTCAGTTTGAGAATTTCCATTTAGCAGTCAGAAGTAATCTTTTTCTCCACAGATTTCTTTCTCATTCCTCCCTAACCCATCCCCTCCCTCGCCTGCCCAGGGTGGACCCTCCCAGTTCTTTCCTGGGCAGCTGCAGACTTTGCCTACTGACACTTCCACCTGCCTCTGCTCTATATTTTTAGTGATTTTTAAACATGTGAAAATTAGAAAATTTAAACAACTTCTTCATGAAGGTAAATAATTACTGTGTACCCTGCTGAATTCAGTAAGTACCAGTTTTAGAATCCAAAGTACCTATCCTGGGCTCTATTTTCAAGAGATGATTAGATAAATAATTTATTTCTTTCTGTGAACTTGATTTTATGGAAGAGGGGAGAGGTGGTGAGAGAATATTTATAATGTTAAACTTTTTGTGCAGACTGTTACTGTTCTATTATTTTCTGTTTTCAAATAGGGGGGAAAGCCCATTTTATGTAAACATTTTTTCCTGGATGTTGTTATTGTTTTAAATGTAGGACGTGTCGGAACACCTCATTTTATGGCCCCAGAAGTTGTCAAAAGAGAGCCTTATGGAAAACCTGTAGATGTCTGGGGTTGTGGCGTGATTCTTTTTATCCTGCTCAGTGGTTGTTTGCCTTTTTATGGAACCAAGGAAAGATTGTTTGAAGGCATTATTAAAGGAAAATATAAGGTAATGTATTATGAATGTTTTACTTTTTCCCCTGAAATTCAATTATTCTGAAAAATGTGCTTTGGTGTAACTATCTGTCTTTGGACTGCTTAATGATTGTCACGTAGTTACCAAGTCAGAGAAGTTCTTTGCTCATATCATTGATCTGCTAGCCTCAGTAGGTAACATAAGCCTCAAGTAAATTTGAGTCTATCAGCTGAATTGTCATCGAGGTGAAAGAGAGGTAGTGGCTTTAAAACAACCGTTGCCTTGCCCCTCCCTTCTCCTTTCCTCTCTACCGCAGCTGAAGTCTGCCCTGTGTTTCCAACTCTGTGTTCAGGCTAGAAAACAGGGACCCTAGTCCTCTTTGATACAGTGTGAAAACCAGAGACCAGATGGATGTGCCCCTTTCCCCCACGTACAAGTCAACAGTTTAATAAGAGTCTTGGGCCCTCAGAGTCACAAACTATGCTACAAATCAAATATATTGTACCACAAATGCATTCTTGCAAAACTGCTCATTTAGCTAGGTGAAAGAACGTGTTTGGTTCATGCCCTACTGATTTCAAGTAAAATTCTAGTTCAGGGAAAGAATTTGAAATGGTACTTGGAATTTATTGTGATAGAATTTAACCTTTTATTTTACCTGAGTAAGATGTTTGTGACAGACAGACCTGAGCCCAGATTTTTAAATATTCATTAATGGGGCCGGCCAAGTGGCTCAGTTGGTTAAGAGTTAGCTTAAGAGCACAAGCTCTGAGCAACAGGGACACCAGTTTGATTCCCACGTGGGCCAGTGAGCTGCGCCCGAGCAGAGCTGCCGCTGAGCTGCCAACAGATGGCAGGATGGCTCAGCTGGTGAGAGCACATGTTCCTAACAACAAGACTGTCTGTTCGATGGTGGGCTATGCCCGCCAGCAACTAAGACTGAACTCGGCACCTTGAGCTGAGCTGCCACCTGGATGGCTCAGTGCATAGAACATGCACTCTTAATAACAAGGCTGCTGGTTCCACTCCCGCATGGGATGGCGGCTATGCCCACTTGCAACTAAGATTGTAACACAGCACCTTCACCTTAGAGGCCGTGAGCTGTTGATGGGCAGTCAGATGGCGACTGGTGCCCTCCACAACTAAGATTGAAGAACAACAACTTGGCTGGTCCCCCTCCCCAATTCCCTAACACTGTTCCCCTCTCCCAATTTTCCAATTAAAAAATAAAAGTATCCATTAGCTGTCTGGTGACCAAACCCATTTATTCAGGCTAAGGCAGAAAATGAATTTGACCTTTTTTTGTGTAATTTGAGGAAAGGGCTTCATTTTTAAAGCTTTTTGCTTAATTTGTAAAGCTCAAATAGAAATTTCATCCAGGTAATTTTAGGAATTCTCTATCTTTATTTTATATTTAGTGTCTATCAGCCTTTATTTGTTTTGCTTTATCACACATTATTGAATATTATGTAGTCATCCAGAACAGCTGAAAATTTTACCCTTTACATTCCAGGATAAGCTGAAATTCCAGTATCACAACTGCAGCCCATAATATAATTTAGAACCATCTTGGTGTGACTTAAACATTCATGTTTTTCTTTGGCTAATGTGAATTGGAAATTACATGTACTGTTCACAGACTTCTGATTAGCAAATTATTCATTTCATTATTCAAAAAGTAAAAAGTCATTACTGGCATTGTGAATAGCTATACTAAAAGGACCTAAGGAATTCTTGGAAATCAATAAGCTTAAAGTTGGTGTCACTACCATGGCTCTTCTTAGACTTTTTTGCCCTATACCACCACATATCGCTGACGGAACGGGGTGCTGTATATGGGAAGTATGGGGGATTGTGTCTGGATATCAGATCAGGGCAGCTTATGTTGGGGAAGTTCTTTTTCCTCCCATTATTGCTAAAACCTGTACTTTCTACTCAACGGAATCACTGTTTCGTTTTCAGCCATGCCTGGCAACATAAAACCAAGCATACTGGTTTATAGAACACTAGACTCCAAAACTATGAAGCCCCTAAAGTTTTCTTTTGAATTCCTCAGTAATGTTACAATTTTATATGGGACTCAGAAAAAAAGTAAAGAAAAACAGAAGGAAAAGAAAAGAAAGGGTAAGGTAGTTTGAGTTGCAGCCTTATTCTTCTAAGCTAAAACTGAAACTTATGGAGGTAAAAAAGTGAGACTGGTTTATACTTTTTTTTTTTGGCCTGTGCACCATCGGCTTATAAAGGTATACAGGTTGTCTTTTAGTTTATTTAGATTAAAATATATGCCAAAACTCTGTTAACAGACAAACACATTTTATGTATAGGTTTTTCTGCTTCTGTTAGAGTCAGTTGGCCACTGGGGAATAAAATCAATCTTTGCAAGGTAACTCAGTGTCTCAGGAAACTGCTTGTAAGTAATCATCCCGCTCCAATCCCAGGAAATATGAGTGACTATCAGGAATGCACACCGTGGCTTTCTGGTTGAATTTTGCCAAGTGAAATCACAGATACTAACATATGAAAATAAACACAATTAGTAATGCATCAGCATAATAATAATAATAGCAATAAGGATGGTTAACTCATACATAGCACTTACTTTGTGCCAGGAACTGTTCTAAGCACTTATTAACTCATTTCATCCTCACAGTGATTTATGACGTAGGTACCGTATAATAAAATCTCGCACCTGCCTTTTTGAGTTATAAGCATTTGCTAATAATAGAATTCTTCTTTTGTGTTTGTTCAGTTGCTAACTTCCTTGTTTCTAAGACAATGTGCTTCATTCCAACAGCGTCTGGTATTGGAATTTGTCTATATTTAAAGCATTGGGTAGTTATTTTTTTCTTTGTAAGAAACTTGGACTGTTCACACATGTCCAAAAATTGAATTGTTTTTAAATTCCCTATTCTTAGATTCTTAGTATTATAGTAAATTAGATGGATGGTGGCAGCTGTATCATAATTTCTGTACCTGGAGGTTTGAAGCTTTGAGGTTAATAACTTATTTACTTTTTTACTTTGCTAACCTCACCTCTTGTTTATAGTCATGGCTCTTCTTACAAAAGCCCCAGGTTTTCAGCAGCTCAGTTTGAAGTATAGATCCATCTCTACCATCAATGATGATCCTGGTTGATCTTCTAAAAAATATATATACCATGCTATGATTCTGTCAGCATTTATTTTTACATTTTTTATTATTGAGAATTTTCAAACAAACAAAAACAGTAAAGGTAACAGTATAATAAACCCCCAGCTTTAATACTTATCAACATGTTTTATCCATATTCCACATACTACTAGATTAGTTTGAAGCAGTTCTCCAAAATATCATTTCATCACTCTTGTGGTTCTTAACAGAAGAACTATTTAAAAAACCCTTGATCTCTATGGGTTTTTTTTCAAGAAAATTTTGATGGCAACTTGTAAATGTAGTTCATTTAAATTGTTGGTTTCTAGACTACTACTGGTTTTAAGTAATTTTAATTTAACTTTTTATTCTCATTTGCTAGCTTACTTGATCTTCTAAAGTAGATGTGGGAGAATACTGTTTAATTGGAATATGTGCTAACATTTAACTTCAATTAACTTTTTTTATAAAGGACAAAAATGTATTTCCCAAAGTACATAAACATATCATCTTATATCATTGTTAACTAGTGGCCAGATGATATATATCTACACAGCAGAAGTCTACACTGCGTGGTTTTTGTATTTAAATAAGTGACTGCTATTATAGCCTTGTTTTGTTCCCCCTTATATACTCAACCTCCCAAATTAATTTCAGCTACTCTTCTCAGCTTAAGAAAGAGAAAACCCTAGACTGGGCTCCCTCATTAAAAAAGACGGGGAGTATACTTCTCAACCTCTACTCCAGAAATCTTACTACCACTTTCAGAGGATTTCTCAACCCCATTCCCGAAGACCAATCATTCAGACTTTAAAGAGTACATCAGCTTTAAGATCAAGAGGAAAGAACAAGGCTATCTGTCTAAGTCCCCTCTAATCACTCACCTCATTATTTCAAACTGGTCAATTGATCACAATTTCAGTAGGATGACAATATTTTAACAGTCTCCTGGCACTAATTTTAATGGGTTCTGACAAGCAGAAGTGACTATCGTGTGGAATTCTGCCTGTTAGAAAAAGAAAATAGAACACCCTCCAACTTTAAGAGCCATCCCTGACATGGAGACATTTTCCACTGCCCATCTACAAGTACAAAGCCTCACATTAGCCAGACCAAATTGTAATGATTCATATGTACTTTGATGCAAGTTGTGATTTCATTTGGCTTTAAATTGTTGTGAAATTTATTCTCCATCTTTCTCCGTTAGAAGGTGACATAGGTTCTGCCAGTTAAAGCAATAGCATTGCTTAAAGCTCCTGGCACCAGGCCGCTTACTTAAGCTCACTGATCAGCTTCTTGATATTAAATAGGGAATGAGAGCCTACTCCATCTCTATCCTCCTGTCCCCACTTGCCTTCCCAACCCCAAGCCCAAAGCATTCCTGTGCATTTTTGTTCTGGTCTGAGACTTACCCCTTTTCCCAGGAGCCTTCCAGTTCTTTTCCTCACAGATCCAGAGCCTTCCTCACAAGTCCTGTGTGTTTTGAACAACTCATACTTCTTTTTGTTTGACTTTGGTCAATTTATATTGTGGCTTAGTTGTCTCTAAAAGAGGAACAAAAGTAACTTCACTAAGGACAATATACAAGTTAATTGGTTATTTTGTAGGGCTTAGGGTAATAGTATATTTTTTCCTAAATACTGAAATTACTATACAGTGAGTGACCAAAATAGCCTATTAATAACTTTGCATAGCTTCATAATTACTGCTAATCCCAATGTTTAAAAACAAAATATTAAAAATATTTCTTTAACATTTTTAACTTTTAATGTTCTTTCAGTCCTTCTAAGTCAAACTATTCTAGTCCCTTTAGCTGAGGTAGAAACTGGAATTATGAACATTCAATTTTTCCATTATTAAAAATATTTAACTTACGAAACAAGAACATATGTAAGCAGTATTGACTGATGCAAAAATCTCATGTAACGAGCAAGCACAAAAAAAGAATTGCATGTGTCCTCTTTTCCTTAGAAAACACACCTTTAGAATCAGATTTCTGTTCTTTGCTCTGAGAATTTCATTGACACTGAAACAGTATAGGACTATTCAATAACAGTGAATATTAACTTCTCACTGAAAATAACTATGTCATTTTCTTCCTCCTCTTCAGATGAATCCAAGGCAGTGGAGCCATATCTCTGAAAGTGCCAAAGACCTAGTGCGCCGCATGCTGATGCTGGATCCAGCTGAAAGGATCACTGTTTATGAAGCACTGAATCACCCCTGGCTTAAGGTACATGAGCTCGTAGATGGCCTTCTAAACTTTGAACGCTTCCAGTGATTGGAATGTATTGGCTCTCTAAGGTGGCCCTTTCCACTTTCTTTTTTTCTGAGCATTTTTTTAAGATTTTATTGGGGAATTGGGGGAGGGGAACAGCGTTGAGGAATCGGGGAAGGGGAACAGACAATTTGCTGTCCTTTTGTTCTTCAGTCTAGTTGTGGAGGATGTCGCTTCACTGGCTCATGTTGGTATTATCATTGCGCTCTTTCTGGGTGAGGCAGATCGGCCGCCGGTCACTGGATGGCCCCTCACAGTGGCTCTTGGGAGCTCACACCGGCTGCCCGCCGTTCACGGTAGCTTACCAGGGAGCCCACTGCAGCCTACGCGGTCACCGGCGACTCATGGCAGCCCAGCTCCAGGTCAAGCTGTTGTTCACCATCTTAGCTGTAGAGGGAGCAGCATCACTGGCTCATGTGGGATCCGAACCGGGGCCCTGCTGCTCAGAGCTGGCGTCCCAAGCCAACTCTTAACCAACATGCCACTCGGCCAGCCCTGAGCATTTTTCATTACAGTTTTGTTCCTCTGGTTTGCTGTGTCTGCACATCCTCTGTCAAAATACCTGAGTTGCGCCGGCGGAGTGGCTCAGCTGGTTAAGAGCTCACTTGGGAGCACCAGCTCTGAGCAGCAGGGCTGCGGTTCGGATCCCACATTGAGGGCCAGTGACGCTTGCCCTCTACAGCTAAGATGATGAACAACAGCTCAACCTGGAGCTGGGCTGCCGTGAGTCGCCAGCGACGGCATAGGCTGCAGCGGGGCTGCAGTGGGCTGCCATAAGCTACCGTGAGTGGCTGGCAGCCAGCGTGAGCAGCTGGTAGCCAGTGTGAGCTACCAGGAGCCGCTGTGAGCGGCCGACCAATGACCGGCGACTGATTGCCTCACCCGGAAGAGCGCAATGATAATACCAACATGGGACAGTGAAGCGATGTCCTCCACAACTAGACTGAAGAACAAAACAGCAATTTGTCTACCTGTCTGATCCCCTTCCCCGATGCCCCAACGCTGTTCCCCTCTCCCCAATTCCCCAATGAAATCTTTAAAAAAAAAATACCTGAGTCGCGGGTACACCATTCAACTGACATTCCACTATCAGACAGAGGGTACAAAAGCAGAGTGAGACAGACTATATCAGAGAGGAAGGCCTGTTTGTCCTTTACCAACACGTATTCCAAAGATGTGCAACATGAATAACTGAAATAGTACTATGTTAAAATACATTAATTATCTTTATTCTGCGTGTGACTGTGTGCTTTGTAGCATTATTTTTATTTCAACAGATACAGATATGGATTTATTATCTTAGGAAAAAGGCAGATTTTAAAAATTCTTTTTTATGTCCCATCTTGACAGTGAATATTATGGAAAATTATAACTTGGGACTTCAATTAAACAGTACTATTTGATGAAAATATTACACAGTTCAATAATTTCAGGAAATTCTCACTTTACAGATGAGAAAACTAAGGCTCAGAGAGGTTAAGAATCTTGCCCCAAGTCACAAAAGTTGACAGCGGTGGAACCAGGGTTTTAATTCTGCCTGTACACGAGATCCCACCCCTTTCACATACTTTAGGATGTCACTCCAGCAATTTTCCCCTTTCCTGTGTGATCAGTTTCCTACCTCTTGAATCTAACATGCTACAGTTTATTTTTATTATACACACACATACATCTTCTGCTGACCCTACTACTGCCTCCGGCTTCTAGTACTCTTCTCTGCTCTCCTTGACAGCAAAAGTCCTAGAAAGAGTTGTCTATACTGACTTTCTCCAGTTTCTCCCATCCCTTCTTGAACCCACTCGAGTGGCTTGCAATCCTACCAACTCCACTAAGACAGCTCTTGTCAAGTCACTAACGACCTTCACGCTGCTCAAGCCCAGTGGTCGAATCTCAGGCTTTCTACCTCTTGGCATCTCAGCAGCAGTGGACATCCATCCTCCCGAAACACTGTCTTTCTTTTGGCTTCAGGACATCTCACTCTCCCAGTTTCCCTTCTGCCTCTGTGCCTGCTTCTTCTCAGATGGTGCTGATTCTTCCGCATCTCCCCCCACCCCTCCCGCCTCTTCACATTGCAGTGCCGTAGGCCTCTGTCCTTGTTCCTCCTTTTTTCTATTTACACTCAGGCCCTTGGAGACCTCACCTAGTTTGAATGGCTTTAAATGCTGTCTGTTCAACAGTGTCTCCTGAATTTATACCTTCTGGTCAGGCCTCTCCCCTGCTGTATTCTTTCTTAATCTAATATATATGGTTTTGCTCTCTGATTTCACCCCTCATTGTTCTCTTCTCTCGCTCTTTTCCCCCATATTGGCCTCTGACTGCTGGCACATTCTTGCCTCAGCACCTCTGTTAGTCATGCCCTTTCCCTAGAACATTTTCCCCTGGATATCTTCATGGCTTATTCCCTTACCTTCTTCAGGTCTTTGCTTAGATATCAGCTTCTTAGTAAGCTCTTCCCTGAGCGCCCAATTTAAAATTTGGGAGAAGGAATGCCCCCTGCTGCCAGTATTCCCTATCCCCCTCCCTGCCTTAGTTTTCTCCATAGCATTTGTCACCATAAGGCATACTTATATTTTACTTGTTTGTTGTCTGTTTATCCCCATAAAATATAAGCTGCATAAGGGTGGGAATTGGGGGCTATTGGTTCACTTCTGTATAGCACCCTAGAAAGTGTCAGGCATGTAGTAGGTGCTCAATAAGTATTAATTATTTAATGCATGAATGAATGGATGTTCGTTATATTATATGCTACACCCCCAGAGATTATGCAAAGCAATAAAATATATTAAAATGTATATTAATGATATATCTTAGTGGCAATCACATTAATGGTAATGTTGCAGAATGATTTTGAGATTCCAATGGATCTTGATTCTCCTTAAGAATATTACTTCTCAAATATGCATGCCACCCCCTGATACTCAGTTCTAGTTACTCTTGATTTGACATATCCAGTTCTATAATATTATAGTTATTCCTGATTTCCCCTAGAAAAGAGTTGGTACAGTTCTTAGATACTTTCTTAGTCCAGGCATACCTTATGTCATGGTGCTTCGCCTTATTGCGCTTCATAGATACTGCATTGTTGTAGAAATTGAAGGTAAGGCCCTCCACCAGCAAAAAGATTGACTTGTTAAAGCTCGGATGATACCTAGCATTTTTTTAGCAATAAAGTATTTTTAATTAAGGTATAAACATTTTTTAGGCGTAATGCTATTGCACACTTAATAGACTACTACAGTACACTATGAGCATAACTTTATATGCTCCAGGAAGCCAAAAAATTCATGTGACTTGCTTTATCATGGTGGTCTGAAGCCGAACATGCAGTATCTCCGAGGTCTGCCTATATTTCTTTCTCCCAGAAATGAACAGTGTAGGGGGCACTCCTATTTCTCCTTTGCCTGTCTCAGTTTCTCCATAATGGGGATCTTTTGTTCATTAGAAGCTAGTTTAAATGCCAAATAACAATAAAAAAGGCAACTAGATTCGTCATTAAAATCCTTTAGAAAATTTGGCTTTCACTATCACTCCTGGCTAATAACATTTATTTTTGGAAACCCTTGTCCCTGCAGTGGTTCTCATTCGAAATAACCTGAGCTTAACATATAATATAGATTTCTTGCCCCAGAAAGATAGAAAACAGAAATATCAATAACCTTGTCATCACTTTGCAGTTTAAAGAAATGTCAATAACTTAAATCAAAAACATCCAGAAGGCTGTTTGAGCTCAGCGTCATGTGTCACGTATGAACTACAGTTTACCGTCACTGCTTATGTGTCGTCTGAAGATGGAAGAATTCAATGAGAATGTTATCTAGCTGATGAGAACAGACTTGTTATATTTAAATACTTGTCCATGTAAACTTGTAAATCATTGCTCTGGATGTAGTAGTATTAATTTAGTAATGGCTAGATTTTAAGCTATGGCTTAAATATGAAAAACTCCTGAATAACTGCAAAGTGAAAAAATAAGATGATGAAAATCTTTCTAATGAAGAATGCCCAAAGTCATAATACCATTGCTTTAAGCCAAAAAAAAAAACAACCCAAAACCCACAGAAATAACAAGAATTATTTCTTTGGTGAAAACATAAATGATGTCCTTTCAATCATTTCATATCGAAAAAGAATCTGAGTAAATACACCAAATAATATGTGAATGTCTCATGATTGTTAAATCATACCTGTGTTTGACGCCTTTATGTGTCTAAATTAGTGATGCTTGCTGTGAATATTCATTTTAACAAAAGTAAGACCAACTAACATTGTACTTTCTTCAGAGATGACTGAGCTCTCTCACACCCTTTGTAGCTTTAATATGTAGACCCTAAAGTATGTTACTGTACTGAAACGTGAAAGAGTATTTCTGTCAGGCTAAATCAATTTGAATTTTGGAAAAATCAGTCAACACACCAATTAAATGTGTATTCAGCAGCTAGTGTGTACAAAGGGCGATGAATCAAATATTTCATTAAAATGCAAGGCACATGGCCGAGTGTCTCAGTTGGTTAAGAGCTCGTTCAAGAGTTTGAGCTCTGAGCAACAGCGGTTCGAGTCCCGGCCCAAGCTGAGCAGCCACTGAGCTGCCAACAGGTAGCAGGATGGCTCAGCTAAAAAAAAAAATGCAAGGCACATTCTGTAGACAATTTTCTGAATTCATGTGACATTACTGTTAGTTTCAGGTAGGATTAGTTAGTCCAGACAATTTGTTTTTGTTCTTTTGTCTCATTTATAATGCCTTGGGGTTCTGTTATTGTTTACTGGTAAGAGATTCCTTAATAGATATTTTTTTAATCTCATGATTTCTTCTGCTTAGAAAATATCAGAAATCATAATTTAAGCATAATTTTATAAACAAACATTTTTCGACTGTGTCCTTATCTTTCCACTTCACTTTAGTGAATGGTGAGCAGAAAAGGTGTTCACTGGAAATGGAGTTCACAGTTTGCTGTGGA